ACCAGATCGATCACACCGATTAGAAACGCACAGCCTCTAGACATTGCTAGGAGAATAACATACCACACGCTCACATGAAGCGGACAAAATTCTCGGCCAATGAAGAAGTCGGACCAAATTCCTTGAAATCAGAAATTGAAAAAGAGCAAAAGCATAGAAAAACCTTTAATTCGATCTTTCATTGCATAGAGAATGTCTTCATCTTCCAAAATCGGATCTTGAAGGGGTTAAGGATGGCTGCCTAGGTTTCCCCTAGGGCCTTCTCTCTATCACGCAACGCTCTGACTTTTTTTTCTTATACATGCAAGAGTTACCATATCATGTACTCCGTATTTATTTATTGAAGGATTGATGTTGTCTTGTTATTGAAGATGAAGATTACATTTGTACAATGATTGTTTACTGCTACAAATTAAACCTAGTCAATTCTTATAAAAATCTAACGTTAGAGTTTGAGTTTTGAGTTTTAATTTCAATGAATTGTACAATACATTTTTAATGTGAAAGTATCTAAAATTTCTACATTTTGGTCAATTGGTCATGGGGGCAATTTCGTACTCATGCACATACGTTATTTGACGAGCACATTGTCGTAGTGTGCCTCAAATTAAATTCACTACTAAGGGCTAATACCGTAGTATAGCGTAGTAGAGTTCGTATGTGTAAGCGTAATAAATAAAAGTAAACGGAAGAGAGAATTGAATATTTTGATAATTGAGAAAGCAAATAAAATACTTAAAGGAGTGAAATAAAATATCAAAGGTAATTAGTCTTGGTTTTGCTTTTATCCACTTAATGAAATGTTTGTCGATCCCGGTTATATCTTTAACTATCTTCCTCTCAAATACTCAATCGATGAGTATATCCAGTTCATCGAGGGTAGTTATTAATAACGAGACGCATTCATTAATAAAACTTACTACCGAATTAATATAGAACACGCGCCGTATATTTACTCGATAGTAGCAATAAATTCAAGATGAAAACGATTGAAATTGATACCTCAACACAAGCGGTTTATTGGTTTAATCAATAATTAATTCCCCTTTGATTATTAACCATGAGACACATGCATTAATAATCCAAGTTTACTACTGTGAAAAGATCGAACGATTAACAAGCGTATTCGTCGATCGATTCTAGTAATTATTAATATATGAGACAAAACTAGTTGATCCTTTAAGTAATGCTCAAAATATTAAATATGAATAGGAATTAATTATTCAAGGAAGAATATTAAAGAAGATATAAATCCTACTATAACTAATGTCAAGATGTTAACTAATTATCATTTTAGTAACACTCCCCAACATTAATATAGAGGAAGAAAATAAATACTACTCTAACTAATGTCGAGATGTTAACTAATTGTCATCTTAGTAATACTCCCCAACATTAATATAGAGATAGTATTAAGGGAAAAATTAATATTCAAGGAAAAAGATTAAAGAAAATAACTCACAACTTACAATTCATTAAGCTTCAAAGTAGCAAAACCAAGATGGAAAGACTACCTAAATTACAAGAATAAAGTGTATATGAAAGAGGGGATTAAATTGGTATCTAAAATAGGAAGAAAAGCGGTGTTTTTATAGGAGAAGTGAGGTGGTTGGGTCTAAGACATAATCTGATTTTCCCATGTTCACTTGCTTTATTTGATCTCTTATGATCTTTGGGTCAAATCATATCCGATTTTTCACATTTCTTTGTCCTCCATGAAGCTTCCTCTTGTCTCCAATGCTCCTTCCTTATGCTCCCAAGCTCTTTCCTCTTCTTTTCATCATGTTTTTGCTTACATCTCAAAATATCTTGATATCTTCTGATTCTACTTTAATTTTAGAAGATAAAGATTACAACGTAATTGTACAAACGCTAAGTAAACATAATGTAAAATCATTCTAAAATGTGGTGTTTATGCACTACTAAATAGTACGCATCATTATTCATTAAGGACTTGGAGGTAATTCCTTACATATATATGATACAGAGTATATCATTACTCGTAAATTTTTAAAAGAATTCAAATGTAGAATGGTTGACCATATTGCCTTGTGTTGCCCAATGATGATCAAGATTGGCCAACGTTTTTTAAATGAAACTATTCAAAATATGTGGAAATCTTCTTTGTTAAAATAGTTTTATAGAAGTATAAATGTTATAAGTTTAACAAAAACATAATAACTAAAATAATTGTTCAAAGTTTATTATCATTGACTAAGAAAAATCAAATTGTTAAGTTTTATGAGAGGAAACGAGTATTATATACCGGGCTGAAAGATCAAGACCGGAACTAGCTAGTTCACCGGGATGAAATTGGTCAATTCACAAGACTGGATGGGACATTTTTCAGTTGGGGCATTGGATCGGACCGGACATGTGCCTATATCCCTAGTTCTTGTCGAACTTGGGGCCAATTAAGTCGCGGTTCGATCTTTTTATTTTATATTTGCATTTCAAAGTTTGGCATTTTAAAGAGATATAAATCGAATAGAATGGAGGCCATGACTTGGAAGAGTTTAAAAACATTAAAAATAGGGAGAACTATCAAACAAGCCCTCGAACTTACATAAAAGTACAAATCACCCCTTGTATAGGAGACTCAGTCCGGCCATCGCCATTTGGGGTGGTTTCCGGTGAATTTTTTTGATGATTTTTTTCAGAATCTTATCCATTAAATCTAGTTTACTCATACCAAATTTCAGCTAAAAATTCAATCAGGAAGACAGTCAAATGAATTTTTGAAGATAACTGCATAGTTAAACAACACAATATATTTCACAAAATCATTTGACTTTCTTCCCGGTTGAATTTTTAGATGAAATTTGGTATGGGTAAACTAGATTTAATGAAGAAGATGCCAAAAAAAATTCATCAAAAAATTCAACGTGGAACCGCTTCAAATGGCGACGACCGGACAAAACCTCCTATATAAGAGATGATTTGCACTTTTTATGTAAGTTCGAGGGGTTATTTGATAGTTCTTCCTTAAGAATATTATAAAAATAAGTCTAGATCGAGAGCGGATGACCACTGGAATTTTGGAACCGCATAGAATCCAACGTCAATCTCGATCCCAGGTGGCGCAACCTCTAGGAGCAGCCTATCCAGGACCGGTCAATACCTAGTTACGTCCATGGTTTTTTTATGATGCGCCCATGTCTTTAATGGTAGTGACGTCCATGTTTTTTATTAAGCGTCCATGTCTTTAATGAATGGGATAAGACTTCATTAATAGAAATTGCAGTATTATTTTTCGTACATGGAATGTTCATACCCTATAGCATGCGATTAAACTATTGTCAATTACAATAGAGAAATGCAGATTGTAACTTGAAAACGCTTCAATGGAAAAAAGTAAAAATAATGTCGTGATATCACAATTTACTTCAAAAGGTAATGAAAACAATTTCATACGCAACCAGTGAAATTACTCCCTTAGGCCTTAACCACTCTGCCAGTACCATTACTCCAAAATTGAACTGGGAAAACTGTCAAATAGGTCCTCGAACTTTCATAAAAAGGTCAAATAAGTCCTTATATAGGATGCTCTGTCTGGCCGTCGCGATTTGGAGCGGTTCCCGGTGGAACTTTTTGATGAAAATTATTGAGCATCTTATTCATCAAGTCTAGTTTACTCATGCCAAATTTCAGCTAAAACTTCAATCGGGAACGCATTCAAATTAATTCTTGAAGATAACTGCGCATTTAACTGAGTTTTCTTCAAATGCGCATTCAAATTATGTCTCCCTTACCGAGTTCAATAACAAACTGTTCATTGCCGGAGTTCTCAAATCTATTTGCAAAAATCACCTTCATTCTGTTAGTTCACTAATAATCATAACACTCAACAATAAAATTAAGAACATACTCTCGAAACAGTTACATCCGCATTTCTCTCTCTTTGGAGTTTGGACATATAAAATTTATTTTGGAATAGAATAACAAAATTAATAAGGGTCTGTTTGGAGCTCAGAAAGTGCTACGGAAAGAAAATACTGAGCCAAATATAGGGGAAATTTGGAGGGAAAGAAAATGTTATTGGCTCGAACTTGGAACTCAATAAATTTATTGAAGTTATTCTTGAAACTCATTGTATCTACTTATATCTATAAATACATAGTGTGGGTTGATAGAGATAATCACAGGAAATTGATCATATGTTCATATGATCAATTGAAAGGTAGTTGGGAAAAATATAGAACTTCACCCACTTGGTTGAGCTCCCAGCTTTCAACACTCCTGATCTGTAAAATCTGGAAGTACATGAAATTTTTAGATAAGCTAAAAAACTGATAAATCAAACAAATGTCATAGCAGCTTTCAACACACCTATCACTGAACAATGTTAAAGAGCCAGAGATCAAAACGCGTGCACCGTTTCTAGCCTGCTTAACAGTAATTTCAACAAAAAAAAATTCTTAAGGTGTTCAACAAATTTATGATGGAAAAGTAAATAATATTATGTGGACTAACCAGTAACCACAAGAATACAGAAATATACCTGCATGGCTGAAACCAATGAGATAGAAGATCCCGCAAGCGATGGAGGCTTCAACAACTTAGATTTGGGGTTAACAGAATATGCTGAAGTAGAAGCTGAAAGGACCTTAAAGACCTATGACATAGATCAATCATCCAAATAAAAATCAGTAACAAGCACTTGAAAAGTAATTTAACCATGTAATAATAACTTAGCAGTAGAGCAAACAAATTGACTTTTGTAACCTTACCAAGCTGCATGTTTTCAGGATTTAAGGAATGGCTGTTCCCTCTGAATAGTACTGGATCCTGATTGTATGGTAAAACATTCATTCAGAAAATGGTTTCTTGATATATACTCCAGCAATGTTACAACATGGTTTTATAAATTGAAAGAAATAATGATTGTCAAGATACAAGCGAGTGAAAATCCACTGGAACATATGATAATGGTCCTCAAGCAGAACTGAACATGACACATATGCATGTAAGCACCCAAAATAAGTCATCTTCAAAACTGACCTCGTTCTTTCTACTTCCTAGGACAACATTGGATTTAATAAAATTGTTAGATGCAATCAGCGTATGATCTCCCTCAATTTCAGAGACAGCATAGCTAGAATGATCAATAACCACAGCAGAGGTATCCTGTTGAATGAGCATTATTATCTTTATTAGAATGTAGTTTGAGAAAATAGTGATAAAGATTTATCCAAACTAAGAGATCTCCATGCAGAAAACACCATAGAGGATATTGGCATTGAGACAAAAATACAATTTGGACAAATACCAATGTAGCCCAGCCAAGCCCATCAATAAAAACTATTAAGCAGAGAAACCATAAACTCAATAAACCGAGTAAATTGAGGTTTTTCTTTTACAGTCATACTAAAAATTAAGCAGAAATTAGCGTTAGTTCTCCACTTCACACACTAAATGCAAACTGGCCCTTTTGAAAGATGGATCCACAATACTCGATGCATTCACATTTTTCAATTTGGGGCCTTGCATACTCCATTTTTCACTTATCACTTTTCTTGGATAGTTTGATCTCAAGTTTTAATTTTCATCACCATATCTACTGAAGTCCATAACACACTAGATAACGAAAATCATGGAATGGTATCAATTAACATAGTAGTCAATAGATCAAAGATTGGAAACAAAAGTAGAGGTACCTCATCAAAATCAACACCACACTCTGCAACAACGTTTCGGATCAAATCAGAAGCATTGGCATCCGCAGCTAAAATTAAGTCTCCACCTGAGTCAACGAAGTCCAGTATAGCCGCCAAATCCAATGACCCTCCAAATTCTGACATCACAGTTCACTTGTCAAGCTAAGATATAAAAAACATGCAGGTAGATAAATATTTTTTTGGATCAAATACGACTAATTCATAACTCGACTCACTTTCAACAGAGGGTGAGAACAAAATGAGCCCATCGTACAAGTATTTTCCATATCTTTGGACACTGATGGAGGTATCATTTGCGAGCTTGAATTCAAGCACGAAGCCACGTGATTGAAGCGAATTGAAGAAGATAGAGTGTGATGACTTGATGGACGCGTCATCGACCACAACAAGAATGCGGCGATCTGTCGGGTTATTATCGGACGAGAAAGATCGGGTTAACCTTGGAGACAATAAAACGACCAAGGTGATAAGGAGAATGACGCGGAGATTTCCCATTTTCCCTTGACGGAGCTTGGGTTTCAAGATGAGGAGGACAGAGCTTCGTCCTCGGCGGAGTGTGATATTCAGATGGCCGTTGTAAAATACAGATGGTAAATTTCGCGAACCCCGCGAGTAGAAATGTTTGTTTTCAACTTTTCACAGGAGAGTATATAAGTAAAGTAAGAAAAAGGTTGCCTTTGTGAGTGAACACTTCGTTATTTTACAATTTTACCCAGATCTGAGGTCATTGGTACAATTTAAGGACAAAGATGACAATGGGAAAGGGCTCTCATGGTAAGATGGCAAAGGCGAGAATGGGTTAGATGATCTTCCATCAAATACTTCAGATAAGAAGGGTGATGGATAAATTTATCGAGATCTGGTTGAACGCTTCATAGGTTCTGAGCATAGCAAGTCGGTCGAGCCCAGACCTCGGCTCAAGTACCTAACGGAAGACCGAACCCAACATTCGACGGATAGATTCAACAATCACCGAATGATGAATATTACGAAATGTTATGTAATTATTATTCATTTATTAGTGCATTTATGCAAAAATATTTTCTGTATTTATTGACATCCTCCTTATATAACGAAATATCTAAATAAAAAATAATCTATATTTCAATATCTTATTATTTTGGAGTTCATATACTTCCACATTCTAGTCAACGTAAGAGGTTTTACATTGACTCAACTCTATCCTTAAAATTCAGCATTTGCATCGTCTATGGGAACCAGAAACAAAAGGCTAAAATTGCTCGGTCCATAGCACTAGAGAAAACCAACAACCCCCATCCGATCTCTCAGTGCTGGGAATATGACACCTTCAGGAGAAAACACACCGCTAAGAAGCAAAGTGGGAAGAGGGGCCACAAAGATATCGAGAAAACCAATACCAACAGTGAAGACACCACACCATGGAGGAAGGTCTCTAGAGACATCTAAACCCAAATCAACGCCAATAAGAGCTCAATATCAGTGCACACTGCCCAGACCGATAGTGGAGAAGATAGAAGACTTGTGTCTGATTTAATTATGGACTCCCTTTGGCGAACGCATCGTGGTGGAAGGTGAAGAGCCCACACCTGCATGGGCTATTTGCATGGAGCGACTATGGACAAATCTACTATAAGTTGTGGGAAATGGGCGTGACGGCATGGCCCACTCTCGGTGATCACCTTAAAAAGATGTGCGGGGCGCTGTACGCGTCCAGTGCACACATCTAATGGTGGAAGAAGCCCATCACACGACAAGAGATTAACTACACCAAGCTATCCTCATCTCGACGCATGGCCTCTCCCATGAGAGCGAACAGTGTGGGTTACTCAAAAGTTAAGAATGACGGTGTGGAATCCCGGCTACCTCTTGGTATGAGAGTACCAAACCCCTTGATAAGTTGATGGGTAGTATAACGTTTTTGATTTAAATAACTAGCTTGTCTAATTATAGAAACAAATTGATGGAAAGAAAACTGAGGAAGTGTTTGGGAGGGTGGAGTCACCCTTTACAGCAAGGGTCATGAAAGTAGAGGCACTGAGGGACTTCAAGTCCCCGTGCAATGTATACAAGGGAGATACAAATTCGAGGAAACATCTCGCAGGTTCAAAGCTAAGGTCATAGCCCTCGAGTATGGTGGGGAGCTCATGTGTCGGGCATTCCTCCTAACCCTGGTGGGTCTTGCGCGGGAGTGGTTTTTAACGTTAGGTGCAGGTATGATCAATAACTTTACCATAGAGGTTGACCAATCGATAGCAAAAGGCTACTTCATGAATAAAATTACCGAGCTTTGACCAACCGCTTCATATGCTTTGGACATAACAAGCCGGCTGAGCCCAGGCCTCGGCTCGGTACCTCGGGGAAGACCGAATCCAACATTTTGTACGAGCTAATTAAAAAAACGACAATGTTTGCACTCAACAATACTATTTTGTTGAGGGATATCATGACAAGATTTTCTAAAAATAATGCCATGATTGAAAAAAAAAGTGCATATATGTTATCAAATTCACCCTCTTTATCACTTTGAAAAAAATTGATTTTGGTGTCACATAAATTTTCCACCATTAGTTTAAAATTGGTAAATTGAGACAACACTCTGTGCTTGTTGCACATAGGATAAATCCATGTAAATCTAAAAAAATCACCAATAAAGCATATTTAATATTTAAAAGAGACAAGTGTCAAATAAGCTCATCTATTATGTACAAAAAGTTAATTAAGCACTCATATAAATTTCATGATATTCGACTTTTAGCAGGTAGTCGCCCATCGGCATGTTACCTACTGACGTAGCGCACGCGTGGCGGCCCATGTCACATTTGTTTCTTCCCTTTTCCCCTTTGTTTTCAATTTTCTTTCTTTCTCTTTATTTTTTCTCCCGTTCCTCCTTTCTTCCTTGCGGCAAACTCATAGGTTGTACTGAAACGTTCAACAACCTAAAATGATTCAAATTGTGGGATGCCATTGTGTAATTGGCAAATCCATTGATGCTAGAAAATGAAATATTGACATTGTCCTATCAATTCATATATAGATAATGTAAGTCTTACTGTTGACCTCCACTACTCCAAAAAGTGATTCTAAGTCTACATACTTAATCAATTCTGCCATATAGGTAGAAAACTCTTAGTCGTGCTCATAAATTTCTAACTCCTTTTGATTATCATTTTAGAACTCTTGGGATTGTGGTATAGATTCGATCAAGATTAGGAAGGGCATAAACGTTGAATGTTCCTACATAATTGCACTACTTTGGGGAGAGGCTCATCATCACTTTATATATCTCAAATGTCTAAGCCATTAAGTCGCCCAGTTCAAAATCACAAATCTAATTCCTTAACATTTTTGTTATCCATCTAATTCCTCTCAACTGCCATACCTACCCTTTCACTTTGTAGCTCACTGTTTCATCTCATTCCTCTTCATTTGTAATCTCCTATAAAAGACAAGTCTGATTCAAATAATAGACATGTATTTTTTGGCTATCAAACTCCTTAACAACTTTCCTTATTCGTATTATTTTCTCGATTCTTGCTCGAGTGTTCTATCGTAGCTTTCCTAAAAGACTACGAGCGTCCATTTTGTGACCAGCAAATCGAGATTGACATTCAATATTAGTTAGTTAAGCCAAATCAGAGTAAAACTTGGTGTGAGTCATTCTGTTTGTAAAAATTAAATGCTCAAAAAAGTGACAAACATGTTCAAAAAGTACGTAATAATTTATGTATAGAAAGTTCATACCAACATGGGGTGGTAATTACAATTGCTTTTTGGTGGTACCATTTCTTGCAGAATGGTTGGCAGTAATGGAGATGCGTTTGGAGCTAAAGACCGGGTTCTTAACCAACTCATGATTGAAACAAATGGAATGACAACAAAGACCATTTTTACTATTGCAACAAGAAATATACGGAGTACATGATACATTAAAGATGGTGACCAGTGAAAGGTGGTTGTCTTATGATAAAAAGTTACTCTTGCTTCTAAGAATCAACTTGGATTTTTGAGTTATATTATAACTGTCACGCCCCGGACCCACCGGACACGTCAACAACCCGCCGTACAGTACGAATAGTCAACCGCAGTCCAACTCATCCATACTATACTAGGCGTCATGAATATCATTCGCAATAGTACATCCATAAACAATCATAATGCAAAATATTTAATCAAGCAGCGGAAACATTAATTCAAATATCCAAGCCACACGTGGCAAACACGGGCATACAAGCCCAAATAAATATTCAAATAGTATCCATGAGCATTATTTAAAAATGTTTTCAAAACAGGAACGGAAGAAGCACGAACCACGTCTCCTTCCTTGAACCTCCCCAAAGCAACGGCGGCGGTAGCAACCTTCAAGTCCTACCTGAAACTGTGAGGTGGCCTCCCCCGTGAAGGGGAGGTCAGTACTTGGAAGCATTTGACAAGTACAATGACAACTATACTAAGTATAATCAAAGTTTCAATTTCCAAGACCCTCACATAGGGTGATAATATAATATAGGTCATAACCCGTGGTTACCCTCTTTGAAAATATACTTACTTTATATATAAAGTCAAGTAGTCGGCCCGAAGACCCATGTTTTACCTTGAAAACGTTCAACCCTTTCCCCGTGACTTCAAGCCACGCCCATCTATATTAAATTCACCATGCTAGAGGCTTCCTCTAGTCATGTTTTGCCGTGCTAGAGGCTTACTCTAGTCACTAAATTCGGTGTTAGAGGCTTCCTCTAATCACCTTACATACTTTGTGCTGGAGGCTTCCTCCAGTCACATTACATTATGCTAGAGGCTTCCTCTAGTCATCCTACACGAATGCTGGAGGCTTCCTCCAGTCATTCTTCATCGTGCTAGAGGCTTCCTCTAGTCACGATACTAGTTCGTCCTACACGAATGCTGGAGGCTTCCTCCAGTCATTCTTCATCGTGCTAGAGGCTTCCTCTAGTCACGATACTAACTCACTAGCAAATTCTATGCCTAGAGTTCCTCAATCTTGAGTAGCCAATGAGGCCTACTCCTAATGTAACTTAGTGGTTACCCCTTCCTACCTTAAGGCATCTCATAAGACTACTTAAGGTGCATCCTTCACAATCCAAGTCCTTAGGATTGTTCTATCACTTTTTATACAACATTCCCGATTAGTAAATTAAATACTAATCCATAAATCTTTAAACAGCCCAAGCTCCTTAACTCATAGTTATAAGGCTCATTCCTATGGATTTTCTAATCCGTATACGATTAAATCTCAATATCAAAAATATCACTTTTATCCATTCATGATTTCTATACATGAAGTAAAAGTATATTTTATCACAAAAATTCATGGTTTATACAATCATTATACCTTCACATTTATTATGCATCATCATACACAATTTCTCATAAATTTGTATGTTATGCATCTTCTACTCACAACAATGATATTTTCATTTAGGCATTATTAATCATTAATAATCCATGAAAATCACATTTAATTACTTTAGGTAATCTTATGAAATTAACCCAAAGATTATAAGCAATATAGTCAGCCATCCTCACCTTATGAAGTGCT